ATGACCTCTGGATGGGGCCAAAGAGATGACCTCTGGATGGGGCCAAACAGATGACCTCTGGATGGGGCCAAAGAGATGACCTCTTGATGGGGCCAAAGAGATGACCTCTTGACGGGGCCAAAGAGATGACCTCTTGACGGGGCCAAAGAGATGACCTCTGGACGGGGCCGAAGAGATGACCTTGACGGGGCCAAAGAGTCGACCTACAGACGGGGCCGAAGAGATGATCTCTTGATGGGGCCAAAGAGATGACCCTTTGACGGGGCCGAAGAGATGACCTTTTGATGGGGCCAAAGAGATGACCTCTGGACGGGGCCAAACAGATGAACTCTGGACGGGGCCGAAGAGATGACCTTGACGGGGCCAAAAAGTCTACCTACGGATGGGGCCGAAGAGATGATCTCTTGACGGGGCCAAAGAGATGACCTTTTGACAGGGCCAAAGAGATGACCTCTTGATGGGGCCAAAGAGTCGACCTATGGATGGGGCCAAAGAGATGACCTCTGGACGGGGCCAAAGAGTCGACCTATGGACGGGGCCAAAGAGATGACCTATGGACGGGCCAAAGAGTCAATCTCTGGATGGGGCCAAAGAGACGACCTCTAGACAAAGAGAGACGACCTCTGGACAAGTCCAAAGAGTCGACCTCTGGACGGGGCCAAAGAGTCGACCTATGGACGGGGCCAAAAAGTCGACCTATGGACAGGGCCAAAGAGTCGACCTCCGGACGAGGCCAAAGAGTCGACCTCGGGACGGGGCCAAAGAGTCTACCTCTGGACGGGGCTGAACAGTCGACCTCAATCAACCTTTATTTAGACAGGTAAATCCCATTTTGCCTCGAGGACTCATTTACAAGAGAGACCTGATTTCAACAAAGAAAGATGACAACAATGGACAACAGCAACAACAATAAACAATTATAAAAAGTCATACTGCAGGTTTTTTTTTTTTGTTTTATTTTTTTTACAAATAGGATGGCTAAAAGGAAAAGGTAACAAAACAAAAAAAAACAACAACAAAAAAAAAAACAGATTCTAAGGCGAATGTAGAAAACTAAAAACAGGAACATGTCTGCATTGGTCCCTGCCAGGAGTCCAACAGATTCGTAAAGCCACTTAGAGAGGTCAAGGTTGAGAGCTTCAAAAATTTTTTGTAAGATATTCCAGGAAACAGGAGCAGAGTAGGAGAAGGCCCTTTTGCCTAGTTCAGTCCTCATTGAGGGAACAGAGCTGTGAACAGAGCTCTAGACGGGGCCAAAGAGACGACCTCTGGACGAGGCCAAAGAGTCGACCTCTGGACGGGGCCAATGAGATGACCTCTTGACGGGGCCAAAGAGATGACCTCTGGATGGGGCCAAAGAGATGACCTCTTGATGAGGTCAAAGAGACCACCTCTGGACAGGGCCAAAGAGACGACCTCTGGATGGTGCCAAAGAGACGACCACTTGACGGGGCCAAAGAGACGACCACTTGACGGGGCCAAAGAGACGACCTATGGACGGGGCCAAAGAGATGACCTCTGGACGAGGCCAAAGAGTTGACCTATGGATGGGGCCAAAAAGTCGACCTATGGACAGGGCCAAAGAGTTGACCGATAGACGGGGCCAAAGAGTCTACCTCTGGACGGGGCCAAAGAGTCTACCTCTGGACGGGGCCAAAGAGTCGACCTCTGCACGGGGCCAAAGAGTCGACCTCTGCACGGGGCCAAAGAGTCGACCTCTGGACGGGGCTTAAGAGTTGACCTCTGGATGGAGCCGAAGAGTCGACCTCTGGACGGGGCCGAAGAGTCGACCTCTAGACTGGGCCAAAGACACGACCTCTAGACAGGGCCAAAGAGATGACCTCTAGATGGGTCCAAAGAGTCAATCTCTAGATGGCTGTCTAAACTGAAACCCCTATAGTCCAAAAATAACCTGGAGACAGTAATACATGCATTCATTACAGCTAGGCTTGATTACTGCAATTCACTCCTGTTTGGTATCAGTCAGACCTCCATTGCACGACTACAACTGGTCCAGAATGCAGCAGCCTGATTTTTAACCAGTACATGCAAAAGAGAGCACATTACACCAGTTTTGGCCACACTGCACTGGTTACCGGTTCACCTTCGAATCCAGTTCAAAATACTACTGTATATCTACAAATTGCTGAACAGTGTCGACCCCCTATCTCTCTGATCTGCTACAGCCGTATTTCCCACCACGCCCTCTGAGGTCAGTGGACCAGTTGCTCCTCACAGTTCCAGGAACTCGTCTTAAGCGCAGAGGTGACAGGGCCTTCTCTGTAGCAGGACCAAGACTCTGGAACGAGTTACCTCTGCTTGTCAGACAGGCCCCCTCCCTCTCGGTTTTCAAGTCCCGTTTAAAAATCCACTACTATTCAGTAGCTTTCAACACCAGATGATCTGTGTTTTGAACCTGTATGCTCCACACTGGTTTGTCATCATTATCTGCATCGTTTTTATGTCTATATTTTGATTTACTTCATTTTGTATTTTGCTTTGTATGTTGCCTGATGTTCTGTCTGTACAGCACTTTGGTTGGCCTTGTAGCTGTTTTAAGTGCTCTATAAATAAAGTGGTATGGTATGGTATGGTATGGTATGGTATGGTATGGTAGATGGGGCCAAAGAGTCGACCTCTAGAGGGGCCAAAGAGTTGACCTCTGTAAGGGGCCAAAGAAACTATCTCTGGACGGGGCCAAGAAGACGACTTCTGGACGAGGTCAAAGAGTTGACCTGTGGACGGGTCCAAAGAGACGGCCTCTGGATGGGGACAAAGCGTCCTTGTAACATCTCGTAACATCAACCAATGCAGAGATGTTCCTGTTGTTAGTATTCTACACCACCTTACAACCTAGCTGTTTTTTTTGCTACTTTTCCTTTTAATTACCATTTTATTTTCACTTGTTAAAAAAAAATTGTATGCATCCTTTATGATTGTCTATTATTGTCTTTGTTGTCCACTTTTGCCATCACTCTTTGTTGAAATCAGGTCTCTCTTGTAAATGAGTCCCCGAGGCTCAATGGGATTAACCTGAAGAAATAAAGGTTGAATGAAAATTGTCGACCTCTGGACAGAGCCAAAGAGTCGGCCCCTGGATGGGGCCAAAGAAACGACCTCTGGACTGGGCCATAGAGACGACATCTGGATGGGGCCAAAGACGCGACCTCTGGACGGGGCCAAAAAGACAATATCTGGACGGGGCCAAAGAGATGACATCTGGATGGGGCCAAAGAGTCGACTTTTGGACGAGACCAAAGACATCTGGATGGGGCCAAAGAGACGAACTCTGCACGGGACCAAAGAGTTGATCTCTGTACAGGGCCAGAGTCGACCTTTGGACGGGGCCAAAGTGTTGACCACTAGACGGGGCCAAAGAGTTGACTTGTGGATGGGGCCAAAGAGATGACCTCTGAACAGAGCCAAAGAGACAACCTCTGGACGGGACCAAAGAGACGACCTCCTGTCTGAGGATTCCTTGTTTTCTCGTAAAACTCTGTTCTCTGCTTCATGATTGTGCTGCATTTGATACAGTTGATCACAATATTTTACTACAGAGGCTTGAATATGATGTTGGGATTACAGGAACAGCTCTAAAATGGTTTAAATCACATCTATCTGATAGATTCCAGTTTGTAAATGTAAATAATAAATCTTCATACACCAAAGTTAGTCATGGAGTTCCTCAGGGCTCAGTGCTTGGAGCAATACTCTTTACTTTATATATGCTTAAATTAGGTAAAAATATTAAACAACATGGGATAAATTTTCATTGTTATGCTGATGACACACAATTATATTTGTCCATTAAACCCAATGAATCCAATCAGCTACTTAGACTACAAGCATGTCTTAAAGACATAAAAACCTGGATGACCCTTAATTTTCTCCTGTTGAACAGACAAGACTGAGGTTTTGGTTTTTGGACCTGAGCACCTTAGGAATGAATGTTTCAGTCTTTCTCCCTCCTTAGATGCATTAATCTGTCCTCCAGCTCTAATGTTAAAAATATTGGTGTTATTTTTGATCAGGACATGTCTTTTATCCCCCACATTAAAAACGTTACTAGAACCTCCTTCTTCCACCTGCGTAATATCACTAACATTAGAAACATCTGATCTAAAGATGATGCAGAAAAACTGGTCCATGCATTTGTCACGTCTAGACTGGACTATTGCAATGGTTTATTATCTGGGTGTCCAAATACTTCTTTAAAACGTCTTCAGTTGATCCAAAATGCTGCTGCCAGAGTCTTAACTGGAGTTACTGGGAGAGATCATATCTCTCCAGTTTTAGCTTCTCTCCATTGGCTCCCTGTCAAATCCAGAATAGAATTCAAAATCTTACTTCTAACCTACAAAGCTCTCAACAACCTAGCTCCATCTTATATTACAGATCTTATTGTTCCATATTTTACTAACAGAGCACTTCGCTCTCAGACTGCAGGTTTACTTGTGGTTCCTAGAGTTTACAAAAACAGAATGGGAGGAAGATCTTTCAGTTCTCAGGCTCCTCTCTTGTGGAACCAACTTCCAGTTTCTGTCCATGAGGCTGACACATTGTCCAGTTTTAAGACTGGGATTAAGACTTTCCTTTTTGATAAATCCTATAGTTAGGGTCGGCTTGGGTTTCCTGAGCTGTCCCTTAGTTCTGCTGCTATAGACTCAGACTGCTGGAGGACAAACTGACCACACTTTTCACTCTGCTACTGTCTTTACTTACTCTGCTCAACCTGTTTTGTATTTGTTTGTCTCTCCTTCCTGTCCTCTCAACCAGCCGGTCAAAGCAGATGGTCTCTTGTCCTGAGCTGGTTCTGCTGGAGGTTTCTTCCTGTTAAAGGGAGTTTTTCTTTCCACTGTCTCCACTGTGCTTGCTCAGGATGGGAGACTGCAACGAAGCCAAGATTCATCTTGTCTGCTGGATTCCTTAGATAGAGAACTTTACTAACTGGCTTTTATGTGAATGTTCCTGTAAAGTCCTGAGACAACTTTGTTGTGGTTTGGCGCTTTAGAAATAAACTGAATTGAATTGTTTGTTTGTCAGCTGCCCGACGGGATTTCAAACAAACAAAAACAAGTTCTCTCTGACTCGCTGCAATGTCTCGTGTTGAGCTGGACGTCAGAAAAAGAAGCCTCATCAACCTCGTTTCCCTCAAGTCGCCTCACGTACATCTGCCCACCAGCTGATGGAGGAACCAAGACATGGCCCGGTCCGAGCTTTTGTGGCTCCGCAGCCAAGGGTCAAATGGCAGATGGCAAGGAGAGCTCCACTTAGGGTCAAAGGTCAGAAGGCACAGAGGGCTCAGCCGAGGGTCATAGGTCAGATGGCACCAAGGGTTTGGAGACAGTTGAGAACTGAAAGTCACAGTCAACAGGCCAGAGACAAGCCTGGTCCTGTAGGTACGTCCACTTCATTTCACCGAGATGCAGCAGGTCAGGGATCAGAGAAGAGCCAGGTCATAAAAACCCAACCAGATCCTCTCGGCAGGACTTCTCAAGACCTGAACCTGAAGCACCAGGAACAGGCAGATGTGGTACCATCAGAACCTTCTGCTACTCATGGGTCAAAAAGTTGTAATTTTCACACAGAGTCCAAAAATCGACTTGAAAGATGAACAAAAGCTTTTAGAAAAGACTTCAAATAGGCAGCATGGTGGCTCAGTTGGTAGAGCTGTTGCCTCTCAGCGAGTAGGTCACCGGTTCAAATCCCGGTCCGGGTGTCATTCTGGGTGGAGTCTGCATGTTCTCTCCGTGCTGCGTGGGTTTTCTCTGGGTACTCGGGTTTCCTCCCACAGACCAAAAAACATGCAAGTTAGACTGATTGGTAACTCTAAATTGTCCTTAGGTGTCCCTGTGATGGACTGGAGACACGGACACCAGTGACACGCTGCCCCCCCCCACCCCCGAAGCGAAGATGATGGACGAACTTTTAAAATAAAACTTGTCAATATTGTTTAAAATGAGCGTCTCAAACTCTTAACATGTTTCATTCTTTAAACTTCCTGTTTTCATCGTTTTCAAGTTTGATTTAAACTTTTCATATTTAATAAATAAATTTAAACTTTTCATATTTAATAAATAAATTTAAACTTTTCATATTTAATAACTAAATTTAAACTTTTCATATTTAATAACTAAATTTAAACTTTTCATATTTAATAAATAAATAAAAGGTTATTTTTGAATGACTCTATAATTAAAACATTTGATGTCCTCACAGGAAACAACAGGACTGAATAAAACCAGTTATTAATTAAATCAAGTCCTGAATGGGAGCAGAACCCAGCAGAACCCAGCAGAACCCAGCAGACCTATGCAGTCCTGGTTGTCGACGTAGTGGACCTCGTTGACTCCCAGGCCCTCTCTCTGGTACAGCTCCTGCTCCTGTAAACCAACAGAGACATCTTAATTAGAAACTGTTAGAGACACTAAGACACCTTTGACAGTTTGATGGACCTGGGTCAGTTCAGACTGGTAGACCCTGGTCTGGACCTAGGAGACCCTGGTAGACCATTGTCTGGACGTGGTAGACCCTGGTCTGGACCTGGCAGACCCTGATAGACCCTGGTCTGGACCTGGTAGACCCTGGACTGGACCTAGTAAACCCTGGTCTGGACCTGTTAGACCATTAGACCCTGGTCTAGACCTGGTAGACACTGGTCTGGACCTGGTAGACCCTGGTCTGGACCTGTTAGACCCTGGAATGGACCTAATAAACCCTGGTCTGGACCTGGTCTGGACCTGTTAGACCCTGATCTGGACCTGGTAGACCCTGGTCTGAACCTGTTGGACCCTGGTAGACCCTGATCTGGACCTGTTAGACCCTGGGCTGGACCAGTTAGACCCTGGTAGACCCTGGTCTGAACCCGTTAGACCCTGGTAGACCCTGGGCTGGACCAGTTTGACTGTGGTAGACCCTGGTCTGAACCTGGTAGACCCTGATCTGGACCTGGTAGACCCTGGTCTGAAGCTGTTGGACCCTGGTAGACCCTGATCTGGACCTGTTAGACCCTGGTAGACCCTGGGCTGGACCTGGTAGACCCTGGTCTGGTGGTGTTCCTCACCTCCTTCAGGATGCGCTCGTTGAAGAACTGCTGCAGCTTCTCGTTGCAGTAGTTGATGCAGAACTGCTCGAAGCTGTTGTGTTCAAAGTACTCTGAAAAACACAGCAGGTCATTAAAACCCAGCCCGGTTCCTTTGGATCTGTGGATCCTGGTCTGGAGACAAACTGACCGAAGCCGGCGATGTCCAGGACACCAATGAAGTTGGCGGACGAGTCGAAGGGGAAGCACTGGTTGACTCTGGTGACCACGTGGTCGAACAGCCGGCTGTAAATAGCCTTCGCCAAGGCGTCCCGCGCGTTGTTGGCCTGCTCCACCTTCAGGGGGACTCTGGGGAGACAGAGGACATGGAACAGTCCGGATTTATAAAATCTTTACCGTGTGGGGCGGATCCAGATTAAACAAAGAGGCTGAGAAACTCAAACGAGGTTTCAGGCCTTCAGTGAGTCATCTGCATACAGTAAACTCTACAAGTCATGTTTGGTTTATTTTACAGGCCAACGTCTAAATTATTCTTTATTCATGTCCAGAAATTTGGAAAAGACTGTTTTTCATGAACTTCAGATCTTTTTAGATTCTTGTTGTTAGTGAAACGTTCCAGTCAGGTTTTAAATCACATCATCGCTCTGAGACATTAAATCTAATGATCTTCTTTTACTCCAACAAAGTTCAGTCTGGACGGTTTCTGTTTTATGTTGAGACGTTTTGTCCTTCATCCAAAGGACTTCATCAGTTTGAGGAGCCACAGACAAACTGTGACCTAGAAGCAGCAACATTCCCATAAAGGACCAACCAGTTTGATGGTGATAAGATGGTTTCTGGGGCCCACCCTCTCCCTGTCGACTCCTCTCAGGCAGCCATAGCGGTTCAAAACAGCAAAGTTCATGCGCAATAATCCAGGTTAAAAATCCTGTATTATTTACCTGGATTATTGAGCAAGAACCTTGATCTGGTTGTTTTAGTTCTTTTAAATTCAATTCAGTTTATTTACATCGCACCAAGTCACAACACCGTTGTCTCAGGGCACTTTACAGGAACATCCACATACATAGAAAAGACAATCAGTAAAGTTCTCCATCTAAGGAAGTGTTAAATGTCGACTCTGTTTCTTTCAGTTCTTTTCGATGTCGACTCCGGTTCAACACCTGTTGCCAAAAGAGGGAGGAGCATAGAGTGACCTATAAGAGTGGAGGAAGGAGTACGCAGGTCAACTACATTCTGTGTAGATAGGTGCATCAGGTCTACAGTGCCCGGGTGGTGAACAGAGAAATCCAGCTGTGTGGTCTGGAGCAGGCAGGACGAGGTGCACGGCCGACGTTTGAAGCCACTTACTCTGCGTTCCATGTTTGGCCCCTCCCCTTTCTGCTGCCATCCTAACCCTCCTGCTGCCCTTGGGTCGACTAAGGTCTCCTGGATCATTCTGACCCAAGGCCAGCAGGAATCACCATGACAACCAGTGACTCAGCAGATTCTGGCTCTTCTATATTGCCCAGCATGCACTGCTTCATTCCATGTTTCCATCATGGCCGCCCCACAGATCCTGTTCTGGTTACAATTTTTAGGTTTAAATAAAAAGAATAAAAGTTGTTTTTGTTTTGCAGAATTTTGGATTTAAAGTCTTAACAGGTTAGATCTGATGTTTCACAATAAAGCTCATGGATCCACTTCAAAATAAGAGTCTGGCTCAGTCGGAGCTTTAGTTGAAAACAAAGGAAGCTGATCAAACAACAGACTTGCAGAGGTTCTGACCCGGTCCAGATGGCTCATCTATCAATACATAAGTGTCGCTGGTGGAAGCGTCCGATACGATGCGCTGCGTTTAAGGACAGTAGGAAAAGGCAGCGCATCCTTCAGCCCTGCGCTCTTAACGAGCTGCCGCTCCTCTGAGCTTCGTTAGGCTTCGGCTGTTTGTCTAACTTAAGCTGATGTCAGCAGCCACGTCTCTCTGGACAGCGATAACAAGACGAGCGGCGCATCGGCCATCTGGTTCCGCTGCAGTGTTTGGGTTGGCTCATACGGGCCGGACCAGAAACTCTGAGCTTAATATGCTAATCAGTCATGAAGCTGTGTTTTGGAGGTGGAGCCTCCTGAGGAGAATTTTTCAATCTGCTCAGGTGTTTTAGGGCCAGAGTTCTGCAGAACCAGAACCAGAACCAAAGAAATTGGTCCACGTGGTGGAAAAAAAAAAACCTTGTTTAGAATCAAAGCTGAAGTTCTGTTGGAGGAAAAGCTGAGGTTCTGAACTTTACAGAACAGAAGGTTCTGGTTCTGTTTGCTTAGCTGCATTTTAGCTTGTGTTCAATTTTAGCTGTTCACCTAGTCTTAATTTCAGTTCAGTAAAATTTAGCGTTTAGCTACCGTGTTGCTAATTACAGCCACTGTTCTGCTCATGTTAGCCTTTAGCTTTGCTAACGTTACCTTTGGTCAGCTCATTTAAACAGCTCAGTTTCAGCTTTGTCAGTGTCAGCTCAAGTTCGGCTCGGCGTGTGTGCAGGAGGGCGGGGCCTCTTACTTGATGGCTGTTCCTTTAACGCCCCCTGCTGACGTCACCATGACCCGTGTGGTGAGGCTGACTCTCAGGTCATCCTGGTCCAGGCGCAGCAGCTCGGCGCAGTGCTCCAGGGTCTGACCCGACTGGTTCCGGATGGTGCAGCCACCTGCGAGACGGGGCGAAGACGTCAGGAGGTTAATCATTAATCTGATGGGGGGGTTCTGATCCACAGATTACTGAAACTAAAAGGATGAAGATTACAGAAGAAAGCAGACTTCCTGCCTGGACCGAAAACTTTCAAACATGTCTAACGTGGACTGACAACCCCCCCCCCCCCCCCCCCCCCCCCCCCCCCCCCCCCCCCCCCATTGCTGAGAGGAGCAGTGATGTAAACACCCCCCCACCCCCAGAACACAAAGGACAAGAGTTCTTCTCTTATCTTCACAGAAACATCCATCATCAGCAGCATGAGGAGGAGAGACAGGAGAGATGACAATTACAATCACCAATCACAGCCTCTCAGGTGACCAATCACAGCCTCTCAGGTGACC